TATAATAAACCAAAGGTCTGACGTGGCAGCAACTCACACTGGAGATAAAACTTAGGTCAAGACTGGAACACATCAGGACAGAACAGGGTAGACCCAACGACGACACGACCACGAATAAGACTAACAGACAGATTTATATACACAGACAAGACAGGACATGATTACAAACAGCTGGGAACAGATAAGGTGCAACTAATCAAGAATAATGAGACACTAGTGTGCACAGACAAAGAAGGCCCACTAGATGGTGCCATCCTTACACTCTGTACTTTCCCATCATCATCCTCAAAACAAAGATGGCATCTAGGGTGCTCTTTCTTGAGATGAAACCATACTGCTGCTCACAAATAGTCACCTCTCGTCTAAGTCTAGCTTCCACAACTCTCTCCCAGATCTTCATTGTGTGACTCATCAACTTAATTCCCCTGTAGCTGCTATAACTCTGTACATCACTGTTGTTGTTAAATATGAGCACCAGCACACATCTCCTTCATTCCTTAGGTATTTTCACCCTTAAATATGCCATTGAATAGTTGAGTCAAAAACCTCACTGCTATCTCTCCTAGACATTTCCAAACCTCCATTGGTATGTCATCAGGTCCTTTTATCTTTCCTTTCATCATTCCTTTCAGAGCTTTCCGAACTTCTCCCTCACTAGTCTTTCCAATTTCCTGGTCCACAGCTTCTATGACCGCTACTCTTGTTTCTCTTTCATTCTCTTCCTTCATTAGCTCCTCAAAATACTCCTTCCATCTTCCCATCACACTCTCCTCACTTGTCAGAACATTACAATTCCTATCTTTAACAAGCCTAACCTGCTGCACATCCTTTCCAGCCTGATCCCTCTGTCTTGCCAATCATTAAAAGTCATATTCGCCTTTTTAGTGTCCAGCATCCCATACAACTTATTTGCCTTCTGCTTTGCCTTAACTACTTCTCTTTTTGCTCTACCTTGCATCTCCTTATATCCCTGTTTCCTCTCTTCAGTCCTCTGGCTGTCATATTCCTTCTTGGCTAACCTCTTTCTTTAAATAGTGCCCTGCACTTAACTATTCCACTACCAGGTTTCTTTATCATCTTCTATCTGTCCACATGACACACCAAGTACCTTCCTACCTGTCTCTCTAATTACTGTTGCTGAAGTAGCCCAGTCATCTGGAAGTTCTTTCTTACCACCCAGAGCCTTTAACAGCTCATTTCTCAACTCCTCACACCATTCTTCTTTCCTCAGCTTCCAACATTTGTTCTTCTACACTGATTTTACTATTTTTCTCTTCTTTACAACAATAGTCATTCTACACACAACCATCCAATGCTGTCTGGCCACGCTCTCCTTTGTCAGAACCTTACAGTTTCCAATCTCCCTCAGGTTTTCTCTTCTACACAGAATAAAGTCTACCTGGGTACTCCTTCCTCCAGGTCACTCTATGTTCCTCCCTCTTTTGGAAATAAGTGACTACAGCCATTTCCATTCTCTTGGCAAAATACTCCACTATCTTCCCTTCCTGCGTTCTTTCTTTGGCACCAAACCTACACATCACTTCCTCATCTCCTCTGAGTCCTTCACCAACATGTCCATTAAGTTCTGCTCTGATCACCATTCTCTCCTCCTTGGTAATACTCTCTATCACTTCATCCAGATCCTTCCAAAATGTATCTTTCGACTCCCCATCACATCCAACCTGTGGGGCATAACCACTGACAACATTTAGCACCATACCTTCTATTTCTACTTTCAGACACATTACCCTATCTAATACTCTCTTCATCTCTACTACTTTGTACATTATTTGTCAACCCCTCCTTCAGGACCACCCCTACTCCAGTTCTCTTTCTATCCACACCATGGTAAAAGAGTTTAAACCCTGATCCACTGCTGTGAGCCTTGCTGCTCTTCCAATTGGTCTCTTGGACACATAAAACATCTACCTTCCTTCTCTGCATCATGTCAGCCAGCTCCCTACCTTTGTCTGTCATTGTCCCCACATTTAGATTTTCAACCTTCAGTCCTACATTCTTGACTTTCCTTTTTTTCCTCTGTCTCCTGACACATTTCCCTCCTTATCGTCTTTGACTAAGGATTGATTTTGATAATGTAATAAAAAATCCATAAATGGGGGGATGTTAGAGATTATTTTGTATTAATCTTTTTATTATACCATGGGTGAGATAACTGAGAACATCTTTCTGTATTGCGTACACAAAACATTCTCTTGTCTTGGCTGGAAGGCCAGCTCGCTGACTTGCAATGCCTCACTGGTGTTGATGCCATGAGAATATGCCCAAAACATTCTCTTATTTCCATCTGGAGGCTGACTCGCCAACAGCCATGGATCATGTCTATTTGTCTGACTGGAACTGGCTATGAGGGAAAGCCTGCTGGACTCTGCTGCTGTATAAAAGTCTGCAGAAATCTCAATTTGATGCTCATTCAGTGACATGATCCATGCATTGCTTATCTGTGTATGTAATCTGTCTTCAAGTTCAGGTTCAAGTCAAATTTATTGTCATTTGCATCACATGTGGTACATGAGGTAGAAAGAAATTATATACTCAGGGTCCCAACCCCAAAATAACAAAATATAAAGTGTAAAAAGTAACATAATTTAAGTATCTAAGATATACACTAAGATATACACTAAACGAATGCCAAATGGTACACTAAAAGATCTAAGATATACGCTAAACACTAATAATGTAAAACAATATAGTGTAACGAAAACAGCCTGAACACGAGTCTGTGTCTTGAATGAGTCCTTGCAAGTAAAACCGGTTAGAAATCTTCTCCAGCCATCGAGTCTGGTTCTTTTTTAAGTAAATTAAGAAATAATATTATCCTCTAACAGAAGGATCAACTAGGAACAGAATATTGTTTATCAACTTGCACAAACTTAAAGTCATAATCAGGCTAAACATTAATTTTGTCATTATCCGGAGGATGATAAAAGGCCTTACTGTGGTGCAGCTGGGTTTTTTGTAGGCCTTTCATTGAAATAATGCCAGGCAAATTGAGTATTTCTAATCAGAAACAGTCTTTCTCCTTGGGTTCCTTGACATGATGGGAGATGAAACCAGCACCAAATGTACAAAACAACCGATTAAGAGAAGGTTTCACTCCAGTCATTGTTGAAAGGAAATCAAAATCTATTGAGGATCAAATATTCCTGAAGTTTTAAGCAACAATGAGAGCTGCACACAAACTTTTTTGTACTCCGAGACAAAATGGTGTAAACTTCTCTGTTGCAGTGCCCCCGACCCCGATTGCACCCCCTCAGCTCCTGCGGGCCGGCCCCACTTACTTGATCATCCAGCTCAACACTAACTCCATCGTTGGGGATGGACCGGTCATTCGTCGAGAGATCCAGTACAGGGCTAGCCAATCAACCTGGACTGAGACTCATGTCGTGGGCTCTCTTACCTACAAGGTTTGGCACCTGGAACCAGACACAGAGTACCAGATCAGTGTCCTGCTCACACGTCCTGGGGAGGGGGGCACCGGAGCACCTGGACCCCCGCTAGTCAGCAGGACAAAGTGTGCAGGTAAGTCAAACCCAACATTCAGAGACTTCTATGCAATCTCAGAAATTAAGCTAATTGACAGCAAAGATGAATTTTAATGGCTGGGTTGGATCTTAGTTGGGAGGGATTTCCTCAAGAAATTTTGAAAAAAATTGGAAAAAGGGAAATTATTATTACAAGGTTGAGTTGCATTTATTTCAAATCAAGGTCTTAAAGGTGCTCAAATTAGATACGGATATTGCAACCCTAGGCAAAACTGATGAAATCACCACTTTTGTAATATGTTCCTTCAATTATTTAATAAAAAATAAAACCCAGACATGGCACAAAACTATTTTATTTTTCAAATTTCCAACCTTCTGTTAAGAATAAGAAGAGAAATAAATATCATTGTTGTAGCATGTCACAAATAATAATGATATTAACAATATTAATAATTATTATTATTTTATTTATAAA